TGGATTTGGATATATTCCGAAATAATTTATTTGTAACGAAACGGTTAGAAGTACGACTTTTATCCTTAGGACATTTTTTGTAGCTAATATAAGTAGCTGTAAATAGCCGCTTCAAGCATTGCTCTAACTATTACTGTCTTCGAGTTAGAAGCGATAAAGTGAATCGCCACGCGCGCGACTTGGCCCCTTCCCCCTCATGTTATGAGGGCCCACCATGGAAATGCGACGACATCGATGTTTTTCATCTACTATATGCCCCCAACAATAATCAAAAGTCAAACTGCGTTAGACTTCCAGTGCATGCTCAATACCTATATTAGCGCCTGGACAAATAGTCGACTATTTTGATTGCATCTAAATTTCGATTGTATTTTGTAATAATTTAAGGAGACATATTAATTTTGGTGTAATCTGATGAAAGCCCGAGAGCGAAGCTCGAGGGCTTTCATCTCTGATTATTAACGCCAAAATTATGTCGAGTCAAATTAATAAATACAAGAGAAATTTAGCGGCAATCAAAATAGTCGCTTATTAATCAAGGTCGTGTTATATTTATGAAGATTATTTCTTGAATCCAATCCTTTAAAATAACATTCAGTTTTGTGAATTGTGTTGATTCATTCATTCATTCATATTGACGATGCTCCCAAAATTGGGTAAACTGCCTCCATATTTTTACTTCTCACTGTGTTATGCGGTATTGTAGACTGGGCCACACCATCTATTTCTTCGCTAGTGGTTACGCCAAAACGATTAATTTCAAAAACTTCAACAACACGATTTTGACGTTTACGTTAAATGCTGTCAGATGCACAAGCTGTCATGCTGATAGCCGGCTATCGTGCACCATGCAAAATAGTCGCTAATAGATCGTATCGTGTTGACTGGTTTCGTCAAACAGGAATCAAAAGTGTGATTGGGTTGATTGACATTTAACAGGCGAAAGAAATAATCAATATAATATTCAAGTGAGATGCATCTGGTGCCATTGATGCCGATTTGAGTCCCGCAGCACTTCAGCAGGATCAAAACATCGACCTCGATCTGAAACACATAGTGCAATGAAAAACTTCAGACAAAAGACCATGTATTTGTGTGGCCTGTGCCGGGGTTTTTGTCCCGTAGAAGGTTTCCCGGACATGGTCTTGTTGTGTGCGTAATATATTTATTTGTTCTTGTCATTTCTTATGCACAAAAGTTCTGTCTTTTATTTAATTCCCTTCCCGATTATGTCCCACGTCCCAACACATACAAGAACCGGTTACACAACGTAGGAGTTCATTCGTGGCACCCATATCGAGCCGACTGCCATCCAAATTCAAAAGTGCCGCGAAACATCCATCGTTTTGACTTGAAGGGTAGGTGGCTCTGCTTGTAGTTTTTTCCCATAGTTGCGAACGGTAAGTATAGGGTAGGTCAACGTTTTCAGTGTCGGCTTGATAGACCGCTAGAACCAATACAACCAGACGGCCCCACACTCTCCCTTTCTTCTTGTCGCCGTATATTGGTCTATTTTAAATTTCGATGTAAGTTCTGTACAAGTCTCTATTTTCTTGTTTCTTCTAATATTCATTCCCTCACCTCTGGATCGACCTCCTATGATGTCAACAGCAAAATCCCCAGATTCACTCAGCTTGTCAAAACTGTTCGAAGCGCATTGGGGATGTTTGTCCTTCCCGCCTGATGCATGACTTTCGAATTTTGTGATCGTAACTTCATCACCCAATTCTTTATTTTGACTAACATTTTGACGTAGGCTTGAATACCATCTCCAAGGGTTTATAGCTCGTGAAAGGCCTGAGGCACTTGACATCATAAAATCATTTCACTCTCCATATTAGATCTAAGATCTCTTTTCCTATGTGAGAGTTTGTTTTACTTTCGTATTGAAAAACTGCGCCAAATGGTTGAATCAATACAATCTGGCTGGGCGGTTTTGTTAATGCTTGTTTGAGTCTGTCAAGTTTTGGTGATTTTGTTGCACTGTAGTTGCTCAACACATTAGTTTTGTTGAATACCTCCAAAACCGAGTTTAGACAGGAGTCATTGTTACATGCCTACTTACTTATATTATACCTATGTTGCGTTCTCGTTTTCTCATGTACAATAAAAGTTTATACGAGATAGTAAACTGCCATAGTACTTCTGAGAGTAACTTGCGCTAGCGTTTACATATTAGCAAGTTGTAAAAAGCAATTTCCCTCAATAAGTACTCTCAGACACTTTTCAGGTATAAATTTTAATGCATTTTGTTTCTTGAGTCTGTCCCTGTAGATTTTTTATTTGATTTGCTACAACTCTGGAAATGCTTCATTAAAGAAGACGACACACACGTTTTCGCTCCATGTAGAGCGCAGTACTTGCGCACAACTTTCGACAAGATTGAAATAAATGTCAACGTCCTGTCAAAACTGTGTTTAGACGTGCAAGATTTTATTGCAGCAATACTTGCCGACAAGTTTTCAACTTGCTGGGAGAGAGCTCTCTATCTCTATCACTGTTTACATTATGAGAGTTATTGGCAAGTGCTCTCTGACACAAAGTTGTGAGAGTTTTACTATCCCATGTAAATTACGCTTTATGTCGTCTTGGTATTTAGTAGTATACGTGCATATTGCTAAGAGATTTTAACATCTTTCACTTACTAAGAGCGGGTACACACGAGCGACAGTTGCAGCGGCGGCATCGCAGCGGCATCGCGGCGGCACCGCAGCGCGTTGTAGCGGACCATAGAGACTCATGACGCCAAACATTAATCTTGTATATTCTAGCGGGATCGAACCGCCGAATACGCCACTGATTCGTACTTCTTTATGGTATTCCGTATTCCAGTTCTGCTTCCTTGATTGGCCGCCTCCTGGCCTCGGTGGTAAATTCTGGTATTTATTGTTTCCATATTTTGTTGATTTTGCATTTTTATTATTGTCAACGCGTAGAACAAGATCACTAACCTTAGACTGATTCTGTGTATACTTGCAAACTTCATGCAAACTTCATTTGGTTCGTACTGCGAACTTTGCCGTCTTGACTTCGCGTTCGGCAGCTTACCGCAGAAAATGCTCGGAAAAACGATTTTGGATCACGTACTTGAAGCTCTGGTGGGCAAAAACCGAATGCCCTTCGCTAACCCTCCTGGATGCATGTTTATTGTTTTTCTTTTTCATTTTCTACTTGCCACATCATGGCGCTAATGGGTTAAATCGTGCATCTTTCACCGTTAACTAATCCGCTTCATTTTCTTAACCTAATCAAATGAGTAGAAGGCCATCTCAAAACCTACAAAAGTTCAAGATCGCTTAATCCGCGCTTCTCACGAAACTGCATGATATCCTCATGAGTAATTTTGATTCAGCCATTTTGGACACCTAAAAGATATTAAGATTGTATTATCGCCCGTCAGACTGGAGCTTAAAACATTTCCAGGCCATTAACCAGTCGTAACGCATCTTGAAGCCATTAACCGGTAAAATATAGATCTCCAAATTCATTTCGAAACTTTAAAGGTTTGAAAATAACAAAATTTTGCAATAACCAGCCCTCTAAGGGGCCCATCCTGTATACTTCTCAATACTTAACACCTAAAACTATGAGTCTAACGAAATTCGACTCTAAATTATTAAATTGGCGCGAGATAATCGCGGCGAGTTCGTTCCACTTTCAAGGCCAACTCGAGTCACTTATACCTTACCATACGGTATAACGGTTTATTTTTTTTATTTACAAGTATTATTGTTGTTCATCGTATATTTTGTTGAATGATCCTCGTAATTTTTGGAAAGCAGTCGTAACCGTAACCTTCGAATAGATGACTCCATTTATCGTTGGAATTTTGACCACGCAATTTTAGCGCGCGTTGGTTATCGATTGTCGACCTTCATTTCTATCTTTCAACTGCAAGCTGTGATAAGAATGCACTTGATTTTTAATTAAACAACAAAAGGCATGGAATTTTAATTGCCGCAATTATTACTGTAGTAATCTTTGGCGATTGAATTCTGATTTGGGGATTCCGCAGTATTTGATGGATGGAAATTCACCTTTAACTTCGACATAGGAGGATATTATAATTCCCTTTTTTTTCTGGCTAATCTTAAGTATCCGCCATTTGCATTACATTCACTTGACGTATGTTTTTTTTCTTTAGGATGACTGATATTTCATATACAATTTTCCATCGACGATTGTTGCACATTCATATATAATTAGACCTCTTATTTAAAGAAGTATGTACATTTTTGGTTATCAACGCAGAGGATTACTTGTGATTTTCTTTTAGGGTTTTTAATTTTTGGTTCGTTTTAATTGCAGTCTTAATTGCAAATTCCAGTTTTAAGAACCAATTCCAATACCATTTTAAGTTAACTATTTATGCGGCGAGTTTGAGGAAAGCAGCGCCAACTCTACCTACCCGTTATTCCACTCTCCCCCAATTATAACACTGAATGCGCCCACAAGTCAGCAGGAAACGCGCGCAATTTAGATACGAGAGACCGCAATAGAAAACCTTCATCTTTAGCACCAGACTAAACATTCCGTATATTCTATACTAATGCACAAATTATATGAGAGTTGCTGCACAATTCACCACGAAACAATTTAGATGAAAAACTTAGTTTCGGAAAACTTCCTTCTCAACAGTTGAGAGTTGGCACAAAAATGTGCACAAATTGAGCACAATTCAGATGCAAATTTTGATAGGAATCAGAAACTTCTGTTAAGTTGCAAAATTCCGCATTAATGTAAATTTTGAGGCATAAAAGGTGGAAGTTGGCGCACAATTCAACACAAAACGAGCACAATTTTCCACGTGATGTAGCTCCAGGTCAAAAATTCGATATCTCGTTAATATTGAAGCATAGTGTGGGAGTTGACGCACAAACCGGTACAAAGCGAGCAGAAATGATTGTGTTAAAACCTTTTTGGTTTAGGAATGTAGCAGACCAAATTTAATACACTTGTTTTACCTTTATTTTTTCCTGACCCAGTGCTGGTAAATGTTTATTAAGTACGCCTTATAAGCTTTTGATACACCGAAACATATTGTAACGGTTTATTTTCTTACCCTTAAGGCCTATTAAGTCTTCGAAATACTTTATTTCATTTTCTCTTCTTTTCCTACAATTCAAATTTAAATTTAGTAACTTTCACCTTTCTGTATTGTTATTACCTGTAGCTGATAACAATTTCCTTTTCCCGTATACTCTTATCAACTTTCACTTTTCCTGTAAACATCTTGTATGAAGTACATGTGATTTCACCAAGTCTTTAATTCCAATTATATTGAGCTTCTAAGGAAGGATTTGTAGAGAATTGGTTGTCAGAGAAGATTAAGTACGTGCCGTTTGATATTTTGGTGGTTAATTCTTCTCGCGCATATATTGCGGATCTGCCGTCACATTCACCATAAGCTCGCTCGTCATCTCAAGAGGTACGACTCTATTAGCTGTAATTGTCTACACATTATCGATGTTTCTTTTAGCTTTTTCTTTTACGTCTACTTTATTTCGTTCGTCGTCTTCAAGTTTCCTTGGAGGTTTCAGCACACTACGTTGGATTCCATCATCTACAATAATCAGAACCAGACATCCTTGTCCATCGTGATACTCACCGATATCTCCCGGAACCATCTATACCTACTTCTTGCGTTCGTTGCGTTCTGGTTCCAAAGCCACATCGATTGTCAGCTGTTAGCCACACCATCCACTCCGGTCACCTTAATTGGCAAGCTACACTCTCCGGCAAAGGTCAGGCTGTAATTGTTGTGCCGTCTCCGTTACATCGTCACGGTGGTCAAATAAAATAAAGGAAGAGAATTCATTTGTCGAGCCTCTATCCTATCTTACCTATCTCCTCTTGTTCCTTCATTCTTTTTCTTCCCTCACTTTCACTGTGTTGTTTTTTTGTGTTTAACGAAGTTTTTTTTATACTTATGATAAACCAGATAAATACTTGTCATTTTGGAGGTTATGTATAATTTAAGGTTATATTTCATTTATAGTATTTTACATTATTAGCCAGGTAAGTGAGTTTTTACTGGCGATAGGAGAAGTTGACTAGCGAGCCGTTAGTCAGTAGCGTTTAAACATGACGTTTACCCGTTTGCGTTTTGTCTTGTTAATCAACGTTTACAACTGAGTAACAAATAAAATTTTTGGTTGCATTCAATTACTTACGTACTAGTTACACTATTTGGTGCTTAGTCACAAATTAATTATATTGAGTTTATAAAACATTTTACAAGTCAAATATTAATCAGTAGTATACCCCAGGTGAGGTACCCGTGGTCAAGGTGTTATATTGGTAAAGCTATCTAATAACCCAGGTCCTAGTAAACTTGAGGTCATATTAACTCGCCCTAAACTTAAATCAAGCGAGTAAGTGGATCTTGTGAATGTTAAAATTTTTGTTCATTGCCTTGTTTATTTGTTGTGAGTAAGTCGAAGCTAATTTCCCCCTTTTGGTTATTGAACTGATATTTAAATATACCGTATTTTCGCCTCCATGTAATTTCTTTCTGTGTATGTGTGTGTGTGCTTGAGTATCGCCTTCTTCGAGATAACTATAGGTATACATCCTGCTCCCTGAAGCAAGAGCAGTATCTACAACTTTCGTTGTTATTCCCGCTTCTGGCGCCCATATAAACCAAAATTGAACCTACCCATTTCTCCCTGTATAGCAGCCGGCAACGAAACATTGTCACCGCCAGAGGAGTGAGAACTCAAGAGTTCCTGTGGTTTTTGTACGTGACAATATCAGTATAAATTTACAAACGATTTTGTATCGTTGAGTCGAAAGAAATTTGCGATAAAAAACACTTTAAATGATATTCCATAGAGAAAGACAAATAAATTTAATTGAAGTAAATTTATCTGACTGTATGAGTAGCGCGACCATTTAGCCATGAAGTAACACTCTCACGAAGCGCGATAACTTTTGCATCTTAAGAGTTATTAGTTGTTAAATACCGGTAGGTATAATAAAAGTGCGATATCTACGCGCATTCTAATATCTACTTGAGAAAATGTGAATAACGGTATCCATTCCCATATCTTATTTGAATCGTCAAAAAATCCCATACTAAATCATTATTTAATGCTAAACGACAAAAAGAAGACAAATCGAAGTATGGAAGCAAAGAAGCGCTAAAGCAGGCTCAAATAGGAAAAAACCTCACATAAATCCTTCTTTCTTTAGTGGGGCTCCAAAGTTGCACAAACTTGGGCTAAGTCCGAACATCGTTCACTTTGAAACATGGCTGCCTAGCTGTCGTCTCCGACGTGGCTGCGCATTAATACTACCCAGGATCGAACTAGGACCTCCGCACGTGCAGTAAGACGTGTGCTTTATGTTTGCGTTTGGTTATTTATGTGTAAGTTGAGAAATTGAATGAGAACACGCTATATGGCTTCCTTTACGGTGTCCAACTTCAATCATGATCATTGATTATTAATAATGAATTAGGTTTAGCTTCTGAAACCCTACAAATTGCATATAACAAATTTTATTAAATAAAAGCACTGAATCGAAATGGGTAGGTATGCTACGGCACTGTGTCTGTGGCTGGAGCATTTACCACAAACTTGAGTAGCATAAATAACAACTGTCGTGAAATGTAGTCAATAAATCATGCAAGGAGTAATAATATTAAATTGTCATTACAGTTTAGTCTTTATTTATCTCCGGAAATGCTAAGTTTTGCACGATTTTGCGCACGTTCTAACTGAACAGATATTACAATACATTTCATATGTATGAATTTCCCAGTGTTTGTTGAACCAAGAAGGGTGATAGAAATTGACGGATGATTAACCACATTTTTTCTAATTTGTTCACGCAAAGGAATATTTCAAGATTTATATCCCAATTCAGATTAAAATAAATAATGTATTACAAAGATAGGCTATAAATTCGTAACTTGAAAGCCAATTATACCATTTGGCACAAATTTTTACAGCAGGAAATGTAAACAAGTTATTAAGGACTACGTAGCGATGCGAACGACGACAGAGCATTTCGTCACCATTCACCCCGTTTTTCTACTACCACTGTCAACACAAAACAAGTTAACAAGTAATCGTAATGGTCGAGATGCGAAAAGGGCACTGTGAATTTTGAATCGATTCGACTCAACTTTTGGCATTGCGTATTATATGGCTAAAGCTATGCCCATATTGAATTTCATGCAATTCAGTTAATAACTAACGGAGATGTTCAAAGCGATCGGACATTTCTAAACAAAGACGGGCAGATAGAGGGACAGACAGACAAAGGAACAGACGGACAGACCAACAGACAGACGACAGGCAGCAATACAAAATTATAATAAACGGCAAGTGTAAAATTATGGAACATGTAAAAAACGGTTTTTTGTTTTTCTTTACAATAACTTTTTGAATAAACGCAGAAAAAATTCCTTCCTTGGTGCAAGCCTCGACACCATAACGAACCAAATAGCGAAAAAACTAGAACAACAGCTCTTAAGATAAAGAACTAGTAGTGTCTCAACGAACGAGCGGACGGACGGACAAGGTGGCCACAATAGCGCATTTTTTTTTGTATTTTTGTGGAAATGCGCTAAAAAAGGAAAAAGGTTTTCGCCTAAAGGCGGATCCACATTGCTAAATATTTGCGTTGTGTGTTGAATTTGACACAAATTTGCCCGTGTGCGCGGAAATTTTTGTCAATGTGGACTGTGCGCCGAACGAAAACGTACGCAAATAATTTCGTGACGAACAACGCACGCTCTCCACTATGTTGTCGGTTTTCCAGTCAACTTCAAAGGGATTTGCGGCGCACAAAGTTCTAATGTGTGCATGTGAATGTGCACACGTGGATTCATGGTATAATAACGTTGATTCAGCAAATAAAACACACAACATAAATATTTACGTAGTAAATACGTGACCCTACTCAAATTTGCGGGGCAAATACCTACTTTTGCCGAAATTCAAAATTCAACACACAACGCAAATATTTACCAATGTGGATCCGCCTTAAGGTGAGTAAGTTTAGCGCGTTTTCCATGCATACACGTTAGTATTTACTCTCCGAAAGGCTATAGGAAGAGGAACTGACCATTTATGTGTACCTACAAAGAAAAATAATAAACATAGGTACCTATAAACATTTTCAAAGGTTTATCTCAAAGGAATTTCTTCATTCAGTTGACACTGCGCATTTGGCGCATGTGCGTAATTAAGTTTCACAACTGCGATTCGTTTTTTATTAGAAGCACCTGCGGTTTAAATTACAAAAACATATCTCTATAAATAAGAAAATTGGCATTGTCGAGTCGGCGCATGCGCTATAAGTAAATTTCAAAAAATATTTCTACAGTCTACATGCGCCGAAAAATCGCCAAGATTTCTCTTGGCTCAGGTGCCAAAGCGACAAGTTACCGAATTTAAAAAGAACGAAGGTACTAAATATCTTAAAAAGTGCCTGTACCCACTGCATCCAATGTAAAAACTCAATGTTGTTTTAGAAAAAAAATTTTTTTAACTATTTTATAAATTTAGATCTTTATTTTTTTTATCTCGATCAAGACGAATTATTATGGAAAATGTAAATCGACAGTTTTCTAGATAAGTTACTTCCAAACATTACTCCAAAAAATGAATCCTATTTTTTGTAAATAAGGTCTGTATCTTGGCGGGCGGTAAATCAACAATTTGAGTGTAGCAAGTGGCGGCGCTGCACAGTGTCGGCGGGAACTAACTAAGGACCAAGACGGGAGTTGACAAAGCAAGAATATTATAATGTAAAAAAGTTGCGATTAGGTAAAGAAGAATAAAAAAATAATAATAATCGTCTGGTTAACATCTACAGAATGATGCTAAGATACCCTGGGGAACGGATGGTAATATCGCCAAGCTGTTTTCCCTAAACATACTCGTATGACCTCTGAGGGCGATGTTTACGATGATTTCCATTTGAATGGTTCTTCTCATTTCACCCGAACCAGCTTTAAGTGCGAAATTTGATTTCAATGTTGGCATTTTTTTATTTTTTAAAAAAAAGGCGCGAATTCTTAGTTTACTTCTTTGAGTAGCTGCTGGTACTAGGATTAAATAAGTATTTGTCACGCGATATTCGATTATTCCCTTTCGTTTCGCGAGAAAGAAACGGGGATTCCTTGTTGTTGTAGAGTTTGTTTGATATAAAGGTGTGGGAGGAAGAACGCCTTTGCATCCCTTGGAAGAAAAAATGCAAGTACACTTTAATCGTTCGAATGAATTGTTTGGTCAAGCCCAAGCGTTGTGCTTCCATTCTCTCAGGTGATATTTTTCTTTTGGTTTTTAGTTTGTTTGATACCGACTAATTACTTGATTACATTGAGTTATTTGCTAAATTAATGCCATTGTATATAGTATAGTATAGATACATTAAACAAAAAATGAGTTTCTTTAAAGCTTAATTTTACCGCATGGTAGTATCTGTTGAGACCCAGCACTTTCCTTTTATTGTATTTACTTTTCATACATCGCTTCGCCTTTTATTGGGCGAAGTATCTAATCGATGTAGCAATTTTTGACATGGATGTTCAAATTTGCTTTTATAAGAAGTACATACCG